TTAATTGCAGCTGCCATTTGAATCAAAGTTAAAAAAACATCTGCCATAGTTGTCGAAGTATATTCTATCATTTTTATCGCACTTTTAGCTGGTGATAAAATTTTGGCCAAGGAATCAACATTCGCCCAAAAGTTTCTATTGATTGTTAAAGCACGTAATTTAGAATTCATAGCATTTGGATTATTTTCTAATATCTAAATAATAAAAGTATATTAATTTTTAGTTAATTAAATAGAATTTAAATAAATAAATAAATAAATATTTACCCTTTTAATTATATTTTCTAGACGAAGTAATGATTCACAACAATCCCAAGCCGTACTCCATCGTGTTTTTACTGAATTTTTAAGTCCACCTCCAATAATCATTGTTTCTAAAATTTTTTCATGCAATTCTTCTCCAGCTTGATGTGATTCGTGAAAATATGAAACAAATAATTGACATTGTGATAAAGTTGTTTTAGCAAGGCTTATTTTTTTAATTATATCCGTACAAATTAATTGAATATGATGCGCAATGCACCTAATTGGAAGTATATATGGATACTTTGTATTTACTAATGATTTGGCGAGTTGCATTGTTCTAGCTCCATCAGATACGATTGCTCCAAATTTTTCAGGTCCTATTTCTTTTAGAACTTTTTCAATTTCGTTTGCTATAAAAATTCCTGTATGAGAATAACTTGAAAAATCTTGAATTGAGTGAATATATTGCTGACGTTCCGGTGTAATAATAAGAAATGCAAAATATGAACATCCTCGATTATTTGTCCAGCTATCTAAAACTAAAGTTAAATTTTCTTGTTGATGTAATTGATTTTCTATTAAAATAGCTATACGTGCAGTTTCTAAATTAATCCAATTAGTGCTAAGTGTTTGACAATCAGGTGGCTTATAAGAAGAACATAGATTTTTCACGAAATCCAAAAAAAAAGGACTTTCTACAATTCGAAAAGGAATTCCACAGCATACAATAAATTTGACTAATGCTTCGTTGCATAACTTTTCTTGTTCAGAATCCATTTTTTGTGATTTTAATTCTGATCTTGTATTGGTTTCAATTTTTTGTTTTGAACTTGATCGACTATAAGATGTTGATAAATCACCAGAAATAAAATATTGCATCCAATATTGTTTAATTTCGGTAGGAACTTCTTGACAATTAAATGCAATATGAGATTGCATTTCTGGTAATCGTCCTCTTAATTTATTGTCACCACAGTGCTTACAAATACTGCCTACATGTCCTTTTTTTTTCTCGCCATATTCTAAAAATTCGTTCCAAATCTGATTTTTTGGTCGTCCTACTAATCGTTTTCGTTTATTTGTGTTTGATGAACTTGATTCTTCTATATCCTGTATAGTACATAGTGACTCAGTAGTATCAGTTTCTATTGATTCTTCGATATTATCTTCAAAGCTCATTTTAAAAATTTTTTGTAGGAATTTTTTATTTACGAAATAAAAAAAAAATCAAATAAATATAAAAATAATATGATATACTTTATCTATTACGCCATTATAATGGTGATATTTAATTAATTACACCTCATTTATAATTACGCCATTATAACGGCGATATTTGAGTAATTACGCCCCCATCTATAGGCGTAAGTATAATTTTTGCTTGATTATAAGATTGATACGAGATATACTGTATATAACCTTTATTATTTTGTGTTAAATTTACAGTTTGTAAGTATAAAGTTTGCCTAATTATAATAATAATATAAATATTATTTAACTCTCAATTATTTATGTTAAATTAACAGGGCGTAAGTATAAAGTCTGCTTGATTATAATATTAATACGAGTTGTATCTAACTCTTAATTATTTTGTGTTAAATTAACAGGGCGTAAATATAAAGTTTGCTTTTATTTTAATATTATATAAATAATATTTAACTCTCAATTATTTTATGTCAAATTAACAGGGAGTAAGTATAAATTTTTCTTCTTTATAGTGATAAATTAATATAAACAATACTTAACTCTTAATTTTTGTGCTAAATCAACAGAGCGTAAGTATAAAGTTTGCTTGATTATAAGATTAATACGAGTTATATTTGATCTTAATTGTTATTTTTTTTAAATTAATAGGGAGTAAGTATAAGGTTTGCTTAATTATAATAATATAAATATTATTTAACTCTCAATTATTTTATGTCAAATTAACAGGAAGTATAAAGTTTCCCAATTCATAGTGATAAGTTAATATAAAAAATACTTAGCTCTTGATATTTTTGTGTTAAATTAACAGGGAGTAAGTATAAGGTTTGCTTATTATGATAATATAAATATTTATATCTCTCAATTATTTAATGTTAAAATAACAGGGAGTACATATAAAGTTTCCTATTTATAATGATAAATTAATATAAACAATACTTAACTCTTCATTATTTTTGTTAAATTAACAGCGCGTAAGTATAAAGTTTGCTTAATTATCATATTAATATAAATAATATTTAACTCTCGATTATTTTATGTCAAATTAACAGGGAGTAAGTTTAAAGTTTTCCTATTTATAGTGACAAATTAATATAATTAATACTTAACTCTTAATTATTTTTGTGTGAATTAACAGGGAGTAAGTATAAAGTTTTCCTATTTATAGTAATAAATTAATATAAACAATACTTAACTCTTAATTATTGTGTTAAATAAACAGGGCGTTAGTATAAATTTGCTTGATTATAATATTAATACGAATAATATTTAATTATTGATTATTTTGTGTAAAATTAACAGTGTGTAAGTATAAAGTTTGCATAAATATAATATTAATACAAGTTATATTTAAATCTTAATTATTTTGTGCTAAATTAACAGGAAGTAAGTATAAATTTCGCTTGATATAACAATTAATCTGAATAATATTTAACTATTGATTATTTTGTGTGAAATTAACAGAGAGTAAGTATAAAGTTTACTTAATTATAATATTGATATGAGTTATATTTAACTCTTAATTATTTTGTATTAAATTAACAGGGCGTAAGTATAAGTTTGCTTGATTATAATTCTAATACGAGTTATAATTAATCTTAATTATTTGTGTTAAATTAACAGCTGGTAAGTATAAAGTTTGCTTGATATAACAATTAATATGATATAATATTTAACTATTGATTATTTTGTGTGAAATTAACAGGAAGTAAGTATAAAGTTTGCTTGATTATAATATTAATACGAGTTATATTTAACTCTTAATTATTTTATGTTAAATTAACAGGGCGTAAGCATAAAGTTTGCTTGATTATACTCTGAATACGAGTTACAGCATATTTAACTCTTAACTATTTGTGTTAATTAACAGTTTGTAAGTATAAAGTTTGCTGGATTATAATATTAATATAAATAATATTTAACATTCAATTATTTTATGTTAAATTAACAGTTTGTAAGTATAAAGTTTGATTATAATATAAATACGAGTTATATTTAACTCTTAATTATTTTGTGTTAAATTAACAGTGCGTAAGTATAAGGTTTGATTAATTATTATATTAATATAAATAATATGTCACTCTTAATCATTTTGTGTTAAATTAACAGGGCGTAAGTATAAAGTTTGCATAATTATTATGTTAATATAAATAATATTTAACTCTCAATCATTTTATGTCAAATTAACAGGGAGTAAGTATAAAGTTTTTCTATTTATAGTGATTATTAATATAAACAATACTTAACTCTTAATTATTTTTGTGTTAAATTAACAGGGTGTAAATATAAAGTATGCTTAATTATTATATTAAATAAATAATATTTAACCCTTAATATTTTTCTGTTAAATTAACAGTGCGTAAGTAGAAAATTTGCATAATTATTATATTAAATAAATAATATTTAACTCTTAAAATTTTTATGTTAAATTAACAGAGCGTAAGTATAATGTTTGTTTAATTATAATAATAATATAAATAATATTTAACTCTCAATTATTTTGTGTTAAATTAACAGGATGTAAGTATAAAGTTTGTTTTATTATAATATTAATGCGAGTTATATTTAACTCTCAACTATTTTGTGTTAAATTAACAGCGCGTAAGTATAAAGTTTGCTTAATTATAATATTAATGAGTTATATTTAACTCTTAATTATTTTGTGTTAAATTAACAGTGCGTAAGTAGAAAGTTTGCATAATTATAATAATTAAATATAATTAATATGAATAATATTTAACTATTGGTTATTTTGTGTTAAATTAACAGCTAGTAAATATAAGGTTAGCTTGATATAACAATTAATATGAATAATGTTAACTATTGATTATTTTGTGTGAAATTAAGGGAGTAAGTATAATGTTTGCTTGATTATAATATTTATACGAGTTATATTTAACTCTTAATTATTTTGTGTTAAATTAAAAGATTGTAAGTTTAAAGTTTCTTAATTATAATATCAATACGAGTTATATTTAACTCTTATTTATTTTGTGGAAAATTAACAGGGCGTAAGTATAAAGTTTGCCGAATTATTATATTAATATAAATAATATTTAACTCTCAATTATTTTATGTCAAATTAACAGGGAGTAAGTATAATGTTTCCTATTTTAGTAATAAAAATTAATATAAACAATAATTAACTTTAATTATTTTTGTGTTAAATTAACAGCGCGTAAGTACTGTATAAGATTTGCTTAATCATTATATTAAATAAATAATATTTAACTCTTAATATTTTGTGCTAAATTTACAGGGCGTAAGTATATAAAGTTTACTTAATTATAATAATTGATATGAATAATATTTAACTATTAATTATTTATGTCAAATTAACAGGAAGTAAATATAAAGTTTGCTTGATTATAATATTAATGCGAGTTATATTTAACTCTTAATTATTTTGTGTTAAATTAACAGGGCGTAAGTATAAGGTTTGCTTAATTATTATATTAATACTGTATAATTATATTTAACTTTCAATTGTTTTTTGTCAAATTAACAGGGAGTAAATATTAAGTTTTCCTATTGATAGTGATAAATTAATATAAACAATACTTAAATTATTAATAGTTTTTTTGTTAAATTAACAGGGCGTAAGTATAAGCATTGCTTATTATATAATTAACATAAATAATATTTAACTCTCAATTATTGTATTAAATTAACAGGGGGTATGTAAAGTTTACTTTTAATATAAATGAAAGTTTCTATAATATTAAATTATCAAATTATTATTTAGATTGTAAGTATAATTTTTTAAAAAATTTGTTTGTAAGTATCTTTGAATTATCATATTATTAATCATTTCCAATAATTATTAGATCGTAAGTATATGGCTATTTAAAAATCTATTTGTTTTAACAAACAGTACTAAATGATTTATTGTATTAAATCAATAGAGAGTATGATTAATTCTTATATAAATATTACAATTGAGTCTGAATATAATTATTATATTAATACTTTATTCGTTATTAAAAGAATGTGAGTATAAAGATTATTTATATTGCATCAATATACGTTATATTAGAATTAACCTTCGTGTCAAATTACCAGGCTGTAAGTAAATATATAAATACTATCTTGTATAATTATGTTTTTGTTTGACAATTGGTTTATTTTTATTCAACAGGGCGTAAGTGTAAATTAATATTACATTTTTAGTTTTTAAAATGACATTAAATACCTTTTTTTGTATTGATAGAATGTAAGTATATAAATAATTTAATTGTCATAATTATATATATATATTATTAAATAATTTTGCATTAATTTAGTGCGACGTGAGTATTAAAATTTCCAAAATTAGAGAATTATGAATATTAAATATTTATCAATTAACAGGAAGTAAGCAAAAATATTATTAAAAATGATATATTAATAATATATGCAAATGCTATTGATAACGTTTTTGTTAATACTAATAGAAAGTAAGTATAAGACTTATTGAAGTATCTGAAATTATCATTAAATAATGGATTTTTTCATATTAATTCATTAGATGGCAAGTATAAATTAATATTGTCATTCCAGAACTTATATTGATTTTGATATTAGTTGGTTTTTATATTAAAATACAGGGAGTAAGTCAAATTTTTAAATACATTCGAGTGTCTTGATATATTTCTAAATAACTATTATTTATTTTTTAATAAAAAATAATAGGACGTAAGTATATATTGTAAATAATTTTGACTTAAAGTTAATATACTAATTTTATTAATCGCATATTAAAATATTAGAGAGTAAGTATACATTTTTTAAACAGATTTTTTTTCGATATGTTATTTATGTTTTAAATTATTTTGTATTCAATTTAACAGTGAGTAAGTATAGAATTATTTAAATTTATTTGTTAGGTGTTATAATAAATTTTAATTTTTATAAATTTTGTTAATTATTAGCCTGTAAGTATGAAGTTTAAATAAAAGCAGGATTTAAAATATTAAAAAATGCCAATAATTTCTATA